TTTTTTTTTTTTTTTTTTTTTTTTTTTTTTTTTTCAAGTCTTCCTCGTCAGAAGAATGTTTTCCTTGTAATAATCCTCAAAAAAGAAAAAAAAAGGCCCAAAAGAGAAATAATAATAATATAAATACCAATAAATAATAATAATAATAATAACAGAACTTTATCAGATAACTAAAAGGAACAGTAAAGGGAAGAGAACTGAATATCCACTATCACTGTTCATTCAAAAAAATAAAAAAATAAAAATCTTAAAAAAACAAATCCCAAAAAAAGCAAAGAAAGAAGTCTCGGAAATGATCCAAAAAACAGTGCCCAATTATGATTTATGCCCATTACTTCACAGCCTGTATAAGCTCTTGAAAATCTGTTAGGAAGCCGACAGTTAAGATTATTCCAAGCATCCCATGTGGGACTTTTATTTAATTTCTCTCTTTGTTCTATTTTATCTCATAATAAACATCTCTATTTTTCACTGAGCAGTTCTGCTCTGTTCTTCAGCTTAATTATATCTCCGATCTTTCTCTTATACAGAAACAATACCTTCTTGTGAAAAAAAAAAAAAAAAAACCCAATTAAAGTTTCTTTGAATTTAGACCCCTAATCATGTGGGAGTCGGAAACCGAGTCGGTTGCGGACCGAGATTACGGCAATGGAGTTCTCAGCTCAAGCAAGCATGGCGTCAAGACTGATGGGTTTGAGCTCAGAGGCCATGACTGGTATGGAAATGAAAAATGTAAAACTTACTTGTATAATTAAGAACTAGCTTTATATAAATATATATTTTGTCTCTGATTATATGATTTGTGTTTGTTTTTTGCTTTGTTATAAGGTATGTTGCCACTGATATTCCAAGTGACCTTGTAATTCAAGTTGGAGATGTCAATTTTCACTTGCACAAGGTACATAGCTAAGTATTGTACTCCAAATGCTCAAACTGTTTCATGTCTTGGCCTTGAAATCATTGAAGTCTTACTTTTTGTGTGTATGTGTGTGTCCTTTTTTTTTTTTTTTTTTTTCAGTATCCTCTGCTTTCTAGGAGTGGAAAGATGAACAGAGTCATATACGAATCGCGCGACCCGGACTTAAGCAAGATAGTTCTCGATGATCTTCCCGACGGACCGGAGGCGTTTGAGCTGGCGGCGAAGTTTTGCTACGGAATTGCTGTTGATCTGACAGCAGCCAATATTTCAGGCCTCAGATGTGCGGCAGAGTACCTAGAAATGACAGAGGATTTGGAAGAAGGAAATCTTATCTTCAAAACAGAAGCTTTTCTAAGCTATGTGGTATTGTCCTCATGGAGAGACTCCATAGTTGTGTTGAAGAGCTGTGAGAAGCTCTCTCCATGGGCAGAGAATCTCCAGATTGTTCGAAGATGCAGCGAGTCGATTGCCTGGAAAGCCTGCGCGAACCCGAAAGGGATTAGGTGGGCATACACTGGGAAGCAGCATAAGGTCTCTAGCCCGAAATGGAATGACACGAAGGACTCTAGCCCCAGTAGGAGCCAGCAACAGGTTCCTCCCGATTGGTGGTTTGAAGATGCTTCAATCCTCAGGATTGATCACTTTGTAAGGGTGATCACGGCAATTAAGGTAAAGGGTATGAGGTTTGAGCTGATTGGAGCTGTGATCATGCATTACGCGACGAAATGGCTTCCCGGCTTGATCAACGAAGGCTCCGTAGGAGTAGCAGATGAAGGAAGCAACAGCAGCAACAGCAACACAAGCGGCAGCAGCAGCGCTGCTGCTGCCGCTTGGAAAGGCGGGCTCCACATGATTCTTGCGGGGACTAAAGATGACCTCCCCACAGTCCAGGCGAAGGATCAACGGATGATTATAGAAAGCCTGATTAGCATAATCCCACCGCAGAAGGACAGTGTGTCCTGCAGCTTCCTCCTCAGGCTGCTGAGGATGGCAAACATGTTGAAAGTAGCGCCCGCTTTGGTCACCGAGTTGGAGAAGAGGGTCGGAATGCAGTTTGAGCAAGCCACTTTGGCTGATCTTCTGATTCCTAATTACAACAAGGGGGAGACAATGTATGATGTTGATCTTGTTCAGAGACTTTTGGAGCATTTTCTGGTTCAGGAACAGACAGAGAGTTCAAGTCCTAGCAGCCAATCTTTCTCTGACAAACATATGTATGATGGATCTCAAAGGAGTGGTGGTAGTGGACCTAATGCCAAGATGAGAGTGGCTAGGCTTGTGGATAGTTATCTCACAGAGGTTTCTAGAGATAGAAACCTTTCTCTCACTAAGTTTCAGGTGCTGGCAGAAGCTTTGCCTGATTCAGCAAGAACCTGTGATGATGGACTTTATAGAGCTATTGATTCCTATCTTAAGGTAAATTTCCTCTTCTTACAAGTAATTTTCTCAGATCATTTACTTTTCCCAATACCCTTTATCTTAATAGGAGAAAAGATAAAAATATCATACTAGTTTTCCACTTAGCAAGGTTGATTTTTAACTTCTCTCTTGCCCATTTTAATTTTTTTTGGTCTTCAATAATCAATCAACTAATGAAAGATTCAAAATTCTATTCCAAAATGTCATTAGATCTTTGTTGTCAACATTGTTAACTTTGCTATATTTTAGTTGGGATTTTAATATCTCCGAATCGAAATTACTAACAGGCACATCCAACACTCTCTGAGCATGAAAGGAAAAGGCTTTGCCGAGTGATGGACTGTCAAAAGCTATCGATCGACGCCTGCATGCACGCTGCGCAGAACGAGCGTCTTCCACTAAGAGTAGTTGTGCAAGTCCTCTTCTCCGAACAGGTGAAGATAAGCAATGCAATGGCCAACAATTCACTGAAAGAGGCTGGGGAGTCACATTACCAGCCAATGGTCACAAACAGGAAATCCCTTCTTGAAGGGACGCCGCAGTCGTTCCAAGAAGGTTGGACGGGCGCTAAAAAGGATATAAACACACTCAAATTTGAGCTTGAGACAGTGAAAGCCAAGTATCTTGAGCTCCAGAATGAGATGGAGAATCTTCAGAGACAGTTTGATAAAATGTCAAAGCAGAAACAGACTTCAGCTTGGAGCAGTGGTTGGAAAAAACTGAGCAAACTCACAAAGATGACAAATTTGGAGAACCATGATATTGGGCCTCAGATTCCCACAGCTGCTGATCAGCAGAACAGAAAGACTCCTAGAAGGTGGAGAGTGTCCTTATCTTGAAAAAAAAAAAAAAAAAAAAAAAAAAAAGGGATTAAAATTGAGATTTATTATTGTTTGTTAACTGATTATCTTTGTTTTCCGGGGGTTTTCTTTTCCTTTTGGGGAACTGAGGATTTTTACTTTATTTCATTTCATTTTATTTTTTCCTTTTAAGTAGAGTGTTTGTTTTTGAGAAAAAAGTAGCTCAATAATTGTCACCAAATTCTGTTAGTTGTCTTCTTTAGGTGGCGTTTTCTGGCGTTTTCTGTCTTTGTTTTTGGTTGAATGAAGATGCTTTCTAAGGAAGGAAAAAAAAAAAAAAAAAAAGACTTTTTGAGGTGTAAAATGACATGGATATTTACATGCTAATTTCTCATATCTAATAGTAGCTAGTAGATTAACAAAGCATCGGAGAGGAAGAAAAAGGGCAAACAAAGTAATTCAACATCTCATTTTAAACTCTAGTAAAGGTAATCAGAAACTAATTATATGCATAGTAAGAAATAATGGATTAGACTTGCCAATGAACCAATAAGATCTTAACTGCAGTCACTTTGCTTGAATAATGTATTTCATTTGTCTCTCACTTGTGATGTGTGACATAATATGTGGTCACTCATTTTATTAGGGACCCTCTTCTTTATTTCTATACAAACACACAATTGGAAGTTAGTTATTAAAAGTGAAATATCAAATTACACTAATGCCCCTTGTGTTTTACTCAAAAAACATAACACCCCTAGATAAAACAAAATTAAACACCCTTTCTTCTTAATTTTGTTAAGTTTGGTTTTGAAATGATAGAAATGCACTAACTAATTTCAACCATTGATCTGATTATACTCAATCTCATCCCATCATTGTTTTTAGATTAGAGTATGGAAAATAAAAACCCTAGACCCATAAAAGAAACAACCCCCTTGAGATCTGCCACCCCTCTTCGTAAACTGGCGATCAGCGCGAACTATTTTTGCCGTTGTCGTCACGAATTTTCTTCGCGTTTTGGTTAAAGAAATGTCTATTATTTTGACAAAACACATGTAGTGTAAATGTAAAAAGCTCAAATTAAAAATCAAAAAATCTCTTCAAGGGGAAAAGAGAAAAAGAAAGAAAAATAATAATAAGATGATGATGAAGTATTGAGCATTAATAAGATCCTATCTATATCTTTACTTGACAATGTCTTAGTTGACGTAATTTGTCGACTTCAATGTATGATAACAATTTGTATCATTTCAATGTCGGAAGGAGTACAATTGTGGAAGACAATTTGCCACGGCTTTTGTTTATCGTCAGACAGTACTAAAAGCCCCCATTTTGACTCTAACATGTGCATTGCCACATTTAGAGTCGAATAATTGGTTGCCCCACTAAGATATGGACACCAACGAAAATAAATCAATATTTAGAAAAATAAAAAAAAAATGAAAAATTGTTATTTACAATTTCCACACTAATATACGATCATTTGGCTTGCTAATCTGATCGACTAGTCATTGTCTAATCAAACGTGTTGTAACATTTTGATCCAAACACGTCAATGTTTACTCGTAGACCCTGAGATAATTACGTGACAGTAATTAGTTATGATGAAACGTCTTGTTCTTAGAAAGTAAAATCTTTTGTTGTCACAGAAAGATCTTAATTAATGATGTGGCATCACAAACTTTAGCAACAACACATTTTAAATTTGTGGTTGCTAAAATCATCGGTAATTGTGGTGGAATCACAGAATCAGGATTTTGTTTCATGAACCAAGATTAAAATTTGGAACTAGTAAAGAGCTGAGAAATGAAAATTCTTAAAACCTTCGAAATATCAACTATTAATTACTCAGTTACCACTTTATAATTGTTCTAAATGTGTTTTCACACTTTGAAAACGTTGCATGATAATTTTATTATCAATGTTATATATATATATATATATATACATAAATATGCGTGTGTGAGGATTTTAGCAATATACTAGCAGTGTACGCGCGTATTGTAATGAGAGATAATTTTGTGTTGTAGAAGTTGATAATTTTTGTCATAAATAAAGCAACTTAAATTAACCGGATATAAATGGCATTTTGTCATAATTGGAACATATATTTAGAAGATATTAAAACGAACAACAAATAATTACATCAATAATTCTATGGCAAGGGATGTACAAAATTCGATATTTGTACCTATAATTTATTGTAAGTAATATAAAAATATTTACAATAAGAGAAATTCATAATTTACAATATTAAATATCATTATGTACATAGCAAATCAATAAGGTAGAAGTAGTACATGAATTAAACCTATAAATAAACAACAGATAAAGCGACCAATTTATGCTTGTATTCGCATGTCTTCAACTATCTGGTCCATTTATAAACAGGTAGACATGAAATTTCTCATGATAAAAGCTGATTATGTCAATTTCATAAAGAGAAAGGCCCAAACACAAACTAATGGTGAGATATAAGTGAAATAATAAGTAATAAGAAAGATTTAATGGGAGGAAGTTGATAAATTATGAATCTAATAATGCTTTTACATACTAATTGTGGCTCAAATATAACTGTTGTCAACAACTGCATGGTAAATCAACTGATTTGTATTTTTATGGCCATTTTATGGCTGCCTATCAGCGGCAATTGCATAAAAGTACAAAAATTAGTCAGATGTTATATTTGCCATGCAGATTATGACATATGCGTGACACAGAATAAAGGGTCGAAGTAAAGTATAAATCTGTCTAAAAACTACCCAGTGAATTAAAAGAGAGGAGAAAAATAGCAGCATTAAAAGGATAATGAAGCTGAGCAGAAACTGGCGACACAATGGATAATAAATGGTGCCTGTGTCAACAGTGCATAATTGGTCTGCCTTTTGTCCAAGTAAAATAGAAGAAGCAAGTACAGTCAAAGCATCAAATAGCCAATTAATACTCAGATTCCATTCGGGTCAAGGTCATTTGGAAGGCTGAGGCTAAAAACAATGGGGAAAACGAAAGCATATAGAACAAAAACAGATAGGGAAATCATAGGCCAAGGGGAAAACCCAAAAGCATTTGTAAAGCAAAGCAAAAGAAAACAGGGAAATAAATGGTACAGGCAAAGGGGGAGAAAAAGAAAAATGATCTGTTCCAAATAGAGGACTTAAAAGAGCAAAGAGATAGGATAAGAAGATATATTATATGGAGGAATAGATTTTGAATCAAATACTTAAAACAGAAATATTAAAAGCTAAAAATTAAGAAATGAAAGAGCAACAATGATGTTGTTTGTGTGTTGAAAATCAAAGTTCATGAAATCATGAAAGAAATAGAATGAAAAAACCCAGTGAAGAAATTAGCAATATATATGGAGTGCCTTTGTCCCACATCGATTAACAAGAAAAGGGCAGAGCGTTTATGTCTAATACGTAGCCCAAATCATTCAATTTGTCTAAAAAATGTGAAAAAAATAGAGAATTTATTCACTAAAAAATTATGAATTAAGAATAAATAGTAATTTATACACTTTTAAGAGAGGTATTTATTTATTTTTAAAGGATATTTGCCTAAAATTACTCAAAGTTTCAAAAATATACATGATGTTATGAGTTAGAGCGTTATTGCCCATAGGCAACTAGTTTTGAAATTAGATTGAATCAGGGCAAATAAATAATTTTTAAAAATAAAGAGAATAAATAAAAGGTTTAAGATATTCATAATGTTTGGTTCATGAATTAGAATTATGAGATTAGAACTATTTTCAATTTACGTGTATTTTTTGTGAGAGAAAACACTGTAGTGAACCATGGACTATGATTGTTAAAGGGTGCCATTGTTGGGATTTGGGATTTGAAATTTTATGCATCTAGTCAGAATGATGTGTTTAGTTATTGTTTATTTTCTTAATCACCAATTATCGGTAAACTATGCAATGTAACTAATGTGTTTTTGTTAGTAAGAGCAACGTATAAGAGCGTTGCAGTAATAGCGTAGTGAATTAAGAAATTAAAATAATTGACATATGATGTCAAATAACATCAACATAACCCATATTTTATGAACATTGACTCATAAATGCTATTTTAATATTGCACGTTTTTTTTTATTTTTTTTATTTTTTTTTTTTTATGTGTGTTAAAAACTGCCCGCTTAAAAAATGTATGACTTTTTTCTTTCCAACTCTAATTGAGGCAGTTCTTCTTTGTATGCATTAGAAAAGACAACAAACCTATATCTATATTGCCTAGGTAATTCTTCCATGAACACCTTTTTTTGTAAAATTTGATCTGAAACACGAAACTTTCAAAAATTATTGTTTTCAACACTTTATCTAAACACACATCCTCATTTTACTATGAACTCGAAGTAAAGCTTATTTGCATATTCAAACTATAGTTTGGATTGCAGTTAAAGCACGCCAATTAAAATAATTATTTGCTTCATTAGTCAGAAAGACCAAATTCCTCTGGAAATGTTTAAGACTAGGCATTCATATAATTTATTTTACAATTCAACTCCATTTAGGTTTGAGCTTCAAATAGGAATTTAATGCCTAACTAAATACTTATTTAGGTTGTGAGCTTAATTCATATTGAACAAATTAGTTTGAATTGCCGAAACAAATAAGATTCTACAATTTCACTATAGTTTCTGGCTTAAATAACTCTAAGGTCTCGTGTGGTTTGTTGGTTCTAATTTTAGCTATTTTAATGGTTTTGGTTTAAACTGTGAAATATGAAAAAAAAAAAAAAAAAGTAGTTTAAAATTGCAATTTGAACTTACTTTAGTTAAAAGTGAAAATCTAAACAATTAATAAAATTTGAATAAGCGTTCCAATATGTGTTGAAAATCATAAATTACAGAGAAAACATGCGCCAAAAAGTAAAAACCCCAAAACTGGGGAATAAATTAAACTGTGCAAAATGGTGGGATTTTTTTTTTCTCCCCTTTTTGTGTGTGTGTTGGGGGGGGAGGCGACTTTGGCTACATTTGGTTCACATGTCCAAAATCTTATTATTCAGACGTTTTGATTTAAACAAAAAATT